CCCATTTTTGGATTGGGTTGTTTATTTTTTTCTTATTGAGTTGTATGAGCTGCTTATATATTCTGGAGATCTCTGAGGAGATCTTGAACTGTATCTGGAAGAATGAGAGGCCAGCTACATGAGGAGTTGATGGGAGGAGGGGTGGGGAGAGGAGACTGTTTCAGGTAGAAGCAATGGCAGATACAAGGGAGGAGAGGTGGCTGTAGTTTCATGTGCTTGAGGAACTTAAAGAAGACCAGTGTGACTTGGGTTTAATGAGAGTGGGGAGAGTGGTAGTAATGACGTCAGATGTGTATTTTTATATCAACAGCATAACCCTTAAGCCAGGCAGCTGTTGGGCAAATCCGTTTCCTGTTCTTCAGAAGGCTTGTTCAGAACAGGTAGCTGGCTTAGCACAGTCGGAGGAGGGACCATTCCCCTGCCTCCGGTGCCAAGGACAGGGTAGGGCACAGAGCTGGTTTCAGTAAAGATTTGCTGACAGTTTGCTTGAGAAGAGAACAGGAAGTGCAGGCTCTGTTGAAGGAGGCGCAGGTGCGGCTCAGTCTGCATGGGGGCACTCATTCTCAAGTCGCTAACACCCCCAAGCCACACAGAGAGCTGGGAGAGTGAGATGTAGGGAGGAACCAGCCACAGGCCCTACCCACAGAAACCTCAGAAGGGAGGGGATCTGAGGGGCCGGTTGGAAAACGGACTTTGAGAGTTAAGGGAGGGCGTCCAACTTCGCTTGGGGAGAGGGAGGTCAGGAAGGCAGATAGGGCCCTTTAGCCTAGACTTAAGGGATGTATAGGGCAATTTGACCTATAGTGGTTTGGACGTTTCATTTTGTTATCTGGCATCACTTCCTCTGTGAACACTAGCAGGCCCTAGTGGGCCTCCCCCGGGGCGGGTCCTAGCTTCACTCCCCAACCCTCTGTAAAGGGGCAGGGCCTCCCAAGGCGCTCCGGTGCTGTCTGCAGCACCCAAATTTGTCCGCCAGGGGCCGCTGCACATGGGTGACGAAGCGCGCGGGTTCCTAAGCTGCAGAGAGGCGGAAGCCGATTGGCTGCGAGGCGCGGCGGGAGGGCGGAGCCTGGGATGGTGGCCCTAAGTGGGGGGCAGGGAACGCGCCCCCGGCCGAGACAGGCCGGGCCGTTATCGCCTCAGACAGCCCCGGGAAGCAATCGTGGTGCCGACGGCCTCTGTCCAGCCCGGTTCTAGAGCTGAGGCGAGTGGAGCAGCACCAAAGCCCGGAGATCAGGGCAGGGCAGCAACTGTCACCATCGCGGCTACCGCCGCAGGCCTGGGTTACCTGAGCAACTGCGTGTCAAGGGCCCGCCCTCGGGTTCGCGGGCGGTTAGCGCGGGAGAGACTCTCGTGGGGGAAGGGGAGGCCGGGACCCGACCTTTGGCCGGGAAGAGGGGTCCTGGCGGTCTAGCGTGGGCTAGCGGCCGGGAGAGCCCGCCAAGGTTTGGGGGCGCCGGGCGGCTGCCTCCAACAGGTTATTCCGGGATAAGCCCGGCGCTGGGGCGGGCCCGGGCTTCGCCGGGGGCCGGGCGGCGCGGGGCGGGCCTGCGGGAGAGCACGCCCCCGCCCGCCCCGGGCCCGCCCCGCGCCGCCCGGGAGCCTCTGTCCCGGGCCTGGCCCGTGCGCGTCCGCCTGCTGAACCTGGGCACTGCCGGCCGCCTGGGCACGGGACTGGGCAGGGGCGCTGACCTCGGCCTAGGAGGCCTGGGATCCCCGAGCCGCCCGCACCCGCAGGGGCCTAGGAGTCGCACGCCCTCCGCAAACCTGTGCAGCTCGCCGATCCTCGGCGGGGCAAGGCCAGGTGCCCCCCTCTTCCCCTCTCTTCAGTCCCTCCCCGACTCCCGTGCCCGCGGGAGGTCCCGCCCGCTCACCCCCTCCCTCAGGGGTGTAGCCGGCTGCGGAGCTGACGGCTCCGCGGCCACCCTGTCCAAACTCTCCGGAAGCGGCCCGAGCCGACAGGGTGCTCAGGTCGTCGCAGCTCCGGCTGACCCAGTGTTGGACCGGAGGCGCCGGCCCTCCTCCCGCACCCAAACTTGGAACACTTGACCTTTGGCTCTCGGAGGAGACAGCCTCGCGGGTGGCTGGACAGCTGCGGCACCTCGAGGGCATCTTGCCTGGGGTTCCAGTACCGTCGGCTGCGCTCCCGGGCTCCCGGCTTTGCCTCTGGGATCCCGAGGTGTCCACTTCAGGCACATGCTGACTGAGACCTGGAGTCATGGATGTGTGCGCCCGTTTTGCCCTGTGGCTCCTCTGGGGTCTCCTCCTGCATCACGGCCAGAGCTTCAGCCAAAGCCACAGCGAGAAGGCGACAGGAGCCGGCTCGGGGGCCAGTTCTGAGGAGTCCACTGAAGCAGGTAAGGCCTTGCCACCGGGCAAGAACTGAGTTGCCCAAGTGGGCAAGTTGAACCCTAGGTTTCTACATGTGTGATTAATGGAGGACTCACATGGCACTGCCTGTTCCTAGTAGTCCAAGGAGTTCTTTCTCTTCTGGAGCCGTGGCTAGTATCTCTGTCTTTCTTGAACAACTTTCCTCATCCCTCCTTAGGATGTCTTTTGTAGGCAGTGAAAAGAGGTCTGCCTTTGGGGCATCTTGGCCTTTCAGGTCAGCAAGCCAAGACCCCTTCCCAAGACTACTTATCTGGAAGAATGGCCTGGGCAGATGATAAGTCTTTTGCTATTGGCCAGTTTCAGCACTTGGCAGCACAGAGGGAGGTTAAGGCTACTTGGATCCGGCAGGGAAAGTAAGGGCTGGGCCAACTCTGTTGCTCTATAACTTAGTGTTGAGGTGTGCCTTTCTATTCCAGTAAGCGTGGGAACCCTATTCCCTCCCTTCCCTTCCGTAATCTGCTGTGTCCTAGCTGTGGCCATATGAAACATCAAGGCCATTCCTTAGATGGAATCCTATTTACCACCAGGGAGTTAAACGGCCTTTTCTTGACATGGGCATGGTATCATTCCTGGACCACTTGTTGACATTCTGTTTCTTCTGACTGATGAGAATACGGATTCTATGATATTTTTGATCTTTCCTGGCTTCTTCTATGCACTCATGGAGCCTTGTCAAAAAGCAAGAGCCCTCGTGTTCTGCTGCAGAAGAGAAGAGCACTGTAAAAATTCAGTTGTTTTACAAAAGGCTTAGAAGGAATTCAGTTTTTTTATCTTTATTTTTCTCACCCTGTCACTGTGATCTGCCCAAAGCAGTGAGCTGCATAGTGAGGAGAGTTTATAGCTGGGTTCTTTCTGGGTGGAGGGGCAAGCTCAAGTGAGAGGGCAGCTCAGTGAATACCCTTTGATTAAAGGAGGAAAAGGAAACGTAGGTCATGGTGGCCAGGAAGTTTCTTAATGGATCCAGAGGCTGGCTTTGGTGGTAGACTCTTTCTCAGGAAACCCCCTTTTAAATTCCTAGACTGGGCTGCTTGTGATT